CCCCCCTAAATAATGTCAGGCAACTATCAGTTTACATCTTATTTATATAGTTAGATACATTCATGAAAGGTAATCTCCTTTTTTACAACCACTCCTCCTTAGCAGATGGAGGGCTTTGAAGAACCAGACCTGATTGCAGAAGCGCAAAGAAAGGCAGATCAAATTTTGAGGGAAGCACAGTTGAAGGCAGAACAGATTTTGAAGCAGGCTGCAGAGAAGACTTCTGCTCCAGTGGTTCAAAGAAAGCTTTCAGACCAGTTCAAAACACCAGACAGACCAACATCAACCTTCAAGAGTCCAGCTTCCAGCAGAGAATGTCTTGAAGAGAGCCAGGGTTCCAATTCCAGTGGCAAATCCCCTTTGTCACAATTTGGTTTGGAGAAGTTTTTTGGCAGTCCAAAAGAGCAGGCAGAAGCAAGACCTGTTTTGGAGAGAAAGATTTTAGGGAAAGAAAGAAAGAGATCTATTAGAGAGGTTGAGCTTGATGAGTTGAAGCAGCAATATGTCAAGAGATTGAAGGCAGTGGAGGATTTAGAGGCAGAGAATGCTATTGTTCCAAGTGCTGTTGAGCTAGGAAAACTTGGAGGTAGACCACATGTTGAAGAGTACAGCACTGCTGGATTGAAGAGTAACAGGAGAAGAGCTGGGATGCCTTCAAAGAGAAAGGAGTTCTCAGTTGTAGAGAAAGTCAAGATTGCAGAGGACTTGGAGCATATGCAAAAGGAATCTTCCAACAGCAGAGAGCTCTTCAAGAAAGGCAGGTCCAGATATGGCCTAGACACCAGGACCTTGAAGCACCTCATGTCCAAAAAGAAAGAGTTTGAAGGTCAAAGGTCAAAGTTGAAGACAAAGAGAGGCAGAGTTGTAGGGTCAAGGTTTGTCAGGGCAAAGGGCGCAGGCAGAAAGTTGGAGTTTCAGAAGGAGATTGACAAGGTCAAAGAAATGGTTTCGAAGGAGAGGTCCAATGGAGTTGTGCTTGCAAAGGGTGACCTTCTGGATGAGTTTCTAGCACAACTGATTTCTTCAGCCCAAGAATGTTTGAAGCAAGCAGAGCTTTCAAAGAGTGAGGGCCAGAAGAAGTCTTGGAACCTTGAAGCCAAGGCCTGCTTTGCCAGAAGGGACAAGCTTCTAGCCAGCAAGAAGTACAGGCAGTCTTTCTCCAGCAGGCTTTTAGAGTACTGTGGTGCAAAGGAAGTTGGCAAGGAGTTGGTAAGCCCTTTGAGTGCACTTGAAGAGAAAACGCGTGTTCAATTGTCTTGGCAAGCCATTGACAGAATGGTGTGGCTTGCAGGTGCAGCCCCTGAGGCAGACCTCTTGAAGTCTGATCTCTTTGCAGAGCCCAAGGATGTGTTGAAGCCTGGAGTTAGGGAATTGCTGACCATTGGCTTTTCAGACCAGGTCCCACTTTGGGCCAAAGCTGAGAGTTCAAAGATGGTGGCTTCTAGCGAAGAACTTTCAGGCATCACAGTTGCAGACAGGAAGCAGTTTGATCTGTTCAGGAAAGACCTGCTTCAAGCTGTTGATTTCTTCAAGCCAGAAGATGCTTCCAGCCAGGTGGTGACCTTGGAAGGCACAGAAAAGTTTGCAGGTGGCAGGAGGATTGCAGGAAGTTTGACTGCCAAGGGGGTTGCAGAGAATTCCAAGTTTAAAATCACTTATGAGGCGCGCCAAAGAATTGTAGGCTTGCCAGTTGGGAGTGATGGTGTTAGAGGGGAGGTTGCTGCTGGACTACTGGTTTTTCCAGGGGTGCATGCAAGGCTGTCAAACCTTGACAGCAATGGCAGGTGGATTAAAAGTGAAGAGTTTGAAGTTGCAGGTTGCAAGATTGTTCACAAGGCAGGTGAGGCTTCAAAGGCATTGAAGTGGGCTGTTGATTTGAGGAAGGAAGCTCCTGAGCTATTTGAAGGCAAGCTGGACATTATGAGTCAGCCTTCCTGCAACCTTGACAGTGTTCTTTTGAAGTGGGTGATTGAAGACCAGATTGAAAAAGAACCGCTTGCAGTCTGGATTAGAGATAGCTTTGCAGCCATTTTTTCAGAGGAGATTAGAGAAACCCAGGCCCTTGGAAACCAACTGTCAGCAATTCTTTTAGGCAAGACAGCCCAAAGGTTGCAGCTGACAGACACAGATTTTGCCAGAGCCTTCAAGGCTGATTTCAGAAAGGCTCTTGCAGAGAAGAGGAGTTCTCACAGGCTTGAAGGCAAGGAGGGCACTTTCAAGATTTCCTACAGGACAGTGATTGAAGCCACCCTTCAAGCCCAGGAGGCTGCAGTCAAGAGAAACTTGGAGACTTCATGGGTGATTAGAGGAGCCTTCAGAAATGCACTTGTCATTTATAGGCCAGACTTCAACAATGGTACTTTGCAGCCACTTGAAGCAAAGGATTGTGGCCTTGAACAGTTGGAGCTTGGGAGCCACAGGATTCCAAGTGAATGGTTGGTTCCCAGAAAGGGCTGGTTGCAGGCTGGCATTCCAATGGCGCCAGAGTTCTCTTTGAGCCAGGCAGCAACCAATGTTCAGAACCTTCTAGACTGGGCTGCTTACACAAACCCAGCCCTTGAAGATGAGGAAGAGAATCCCCTAGACATTGATGATTCCATTGAAGAGTCTCTGGGGTTTGGTTTGAAGAATTCCTTGTTTTTGAGGCTTCACCCAAAGGTGAGGAAAGCAGCTTTTTTAGCTCAGAAAGATGCAAAGTTTTCAGAAGTACTTGAGAAGTCCAAGGAAAAAGCTGCAAGACTCCAGCAAAGGGCAAGTTTGAGGCCTGGTTTGTTGAAGGCTCTTAGAGAGAAGCTTAAAGGAATGAGCAAGAAGGAAGCAATTGAACAGGTGGTTGCCAAGAGCAATGCAAGCAAGAAGAAGATTTCAGCCATCTTCAAGCCTGGTGCAAAGACAAAGCCATCCATTTTCAAGAAAGCAGCTTTGAAAAGCCTCAAGAAAAGCAAGGCAAAGCAGGAGGCAGACAAGAGCATTCCAGCAGCCTTGAAGGATTTGAAGAAGAAGACAGAGATGGATGCAGTTGTTGAACCTTCTGGGGAGACAGTTCATTGTAGAATTGCTTCAGAGAGTGAAGGGAAAGGGAAGTATGGGAAAGAAGGGATGGTTGAAGTGAAGAGCTTGGAGAAAGATGGGGGTGAGTTTTGCCAGCTCATTGGAGACAAGCACACAGTTGTGACTTGCAAGGTTTCAAGTCTTCTTGTCAAGCAAGACACATGGCTTCCAGTGAAGGAGTGGCAGCCTTTCAGCAAGCTTTCTAGAAAAAGTAAAGGTGAAACCCTTTACATGATTGGCTTGAAGCCAGAGCCCTTTGCAAGCGCGGGTGATGATTTGATGGACCTTCCAAGTCAGGATGAGAACTTTGATTCTCAGCATATGCTGCTTGGCTTTGAGCTTTTGAGGTGGCAGTTCAAGGACTACTTGAAGGAGGTGGCCTTCATAGACCCTTATTTGACCACAATGTATTTGAGAGATGAGGATGTTCCACAAAGAGAGCTGTTGAAGAAGACCATTCAAGACTTTGGGGAATCAGATTCGCGGGTGCTTCTTTGTCCAATTTGGAGTGCAAAGACAATTTGTCATTGGACTCTGCTTACAGCTGAGAGGGTTGAAGGGAAGTGGTCTTTTAGGTACAGGGATACCTTGGCAGACCCAGTAGAAGATTCCTTGAAGAAGGCTTGCAGTATAGCCAGCCTTTTGCAGAAGGAAGAGGTTTCTTTGAAGATTTACAACTCTTTCCAGCAAGTTGGAAGCACATGTGGGCTTTGGACTCTTGCATACATGATGGAAGAGGCTTGCAGCTTGTTTGAAGGCTTGGCTTCCAGAGGACACCCAAACATTAACTTCTTGAGGATGAAGTTTGTAGCTTGGTGGCACCAGCTTTCAGCAGAGAAGCAAAAGCTTGAAGAAAGCAAGAAGGAACTTGAAGAGAAGGCAGAGAAAATTTCAGTCCAGCAAGAGAAAGCCAAGGAGAAAGCCTTGCAGCAGCTCTCCAAATTGAAGAGCCATACCAGTGCTGCAGCCATTAAAGCCCAGCAGATGCTTGAAGCCAATAGCAAGTACTTCAAGCTGCAACAGCTGAGTGAGGCTTCAAGGTACAAGATTGAAGGCACCCTTTCAAAGGGAAACATCTGTTCCAAGTGCAGATGGAACAGTGGATGCTTGGAGTGTCACCCAGGCAAGGCTTTGAAGTACTATTGGAGCAAAGAGGCGCATTCAAAGAGCCTTGTTCCAGGACCAGATCTTCCAAAGAATTGGGAACACCTTTCAGGACAGGGGGGTGGGGAAGAAGCAAACACTAGCCAGCAAAGCACACACACAATGAAAAAAACATCCAAAAACATCAAATCTCAATGGAAATCTCCAAATTTTCAATAGACATCTCCATCCAAAAGCCTCCAAAAGCATCAAAACTCAATGGAAATCTCCAAATTTTCAATAGAAGTCTCCATCCAAAAGCCTCCAAAAGCATAGAATCTCAATGGAAATCTCCAAATTTTCAATAGACATCTCCATCCAAAAGCCTCCAAAAGCATCAAATCTCAATGGAAATCTCCAAATTTTCAATAGAAATCTCCATCCCAAAGCCTCCAAAAGCATCAAATCTCAATGGAAATCTCCAAATTTTCAATAGAAATCTCCATCCAAAAGCCTCCAAAAGCATCAAATCTCAATGGAAATCTTCAAATGTTCAATAGAAATCTCCATCCAAAAGCATCCAAAAGCATCAAATCTCAATGGAAATCTCCAAAATTTCAATAGAAATCTCCATCCAAAAGCCTCCAAAAGCATCAAATCTCAATGGAAATCTCCAAATTTTCAATAGAAATCTCCATCCCAAAGCCTCCAAAAGCATCAAATCTCAATGGAAATCTCCAAATTTTCAATAGAAATCTCCATCCAAAAGCCTCCAAAAGCATCAAATCTCAATGGAAATCTCAAATTTTTGAATAGAAATCTCCATCCAAAAGCCTCCAAAAGAATCAAATCTCAATGGAAATCTCCAAATGTTTAATAGAAATCTCAATCCAAAAGCCTGTAAGATAAGCAAATCCCAGCAAATTCAAAAGGGAAAAAGTAAACTATAACAATAAAAACAAAATCCACTACAACTACCCCTCCAAAAAAAAAATACATTATTCTAGGGGCCTTTATAAATCAGTGCAGGGAAAAAAAAAGACATAATTCTAGGGGGGTTTATAAATCTGAGGGCCACATTAACAATCTGAGGGCGTTCTTTGTCGCTTGTCACGTCGGCGGCAGTTTCCGCGGCTGCGAGTACAGCGACTTGACCACGTCGCTAAGACATTCGACAGATGGATGAAGAACAAATGGTCTTCCTGGCAGGGACTGCATGCCAAATCCATCATCGTTTCCGATTGCGGGAGAGAGGTGCAGATTTAGACCGTACCTGCACCAAGCAGTAGCACCTAAAAACCAACAGATGCACCTCCTGTCTCAACATGTCCCTTTTCGAAGAACCATTTGACACCACCAGCTTGAGAGGGCCCAACATCATGTTTGGCCCGGCAACACGATCCCAAACCTACTGAAGGTACATCTACTTATGGCAGTTCATTGTCTCCTGCAGCCCACACAAGGTTCTTCTAAGATTTTGGAACCCAGTGCCAATGAGCTTCTCCTCCAAAAGATGTGGCCCACGTCAAACTGGGCAAATCCAGACAAAAATACCAGAAACAGAAACATCAACAGGGTGAAAAGTACCTGGGGGACGTTTGCCAAGCCCCTGATGGGAAACTTGGTGAAGACATATGAACAACTATATGCCTCAGTAGAAAAACACGTAGCCTTCACACCGTACCAGACTACCCGAGGTTTGGCCTCCCAGTCAGATGCCAGACTTTGCCTTGGGCATGGCCTTTTGGCGAGACAGCGGTACCTGCGGTACCAGAACGGGCTGCGGTGCGTTTTGGGGCGTAGGTCGTTCCTGCCAGAAACGTAGGTCGTTCCTGCAAGACATATATGGACTGCGCTCAAAAAGCCCTACTCAAAAAATATAGATAAACGTAAATTTTTAATTTTGGGAAAAGACATTTTGGAAACCAACCATATATATATATATACCAGGACCCTCCAGTCAGGGTGCCCTGTTTGGGTAGTTCACACCCGACAGGAGGGTCCCTGGTATATATACACATATAAGACCTCGGATGAGCTGTGATACGTCACCGGGTGACCGCTCCCTCTTCTGGTCCGGTTTGGGCGGAGCTCGTCTGTCTAAAAGAACGGCTCAGTGAGTGAGCCCGGAGGATCGCTGGCGCAGACAGACTCCTTAAACAGATTCTACTGGTACTGGTGGGTGGATTCCTTATTGTCCGCATTGGGCCTGCCCTTGGTCGGGGGCCTGCCCAGATTGCAGCCCAACTGGCGCGACGGCAGGCGCAAGCTTCAGGTGCCTACAAAAAAGAGAGAGAGAGAGAGGAGGGTGACTGGAGACAATGTAACGACATCATTCGCTAATCTTTTAGTTTTATACACAGTAACATACGTATATTATGTAATTATATATATTACATTATATATATATTGTCACACCTTGTCAGATTCTATTTAGAATACCTCAGAATCATCAGAGGTCGGAGGCCCGGCCCGGCACCACGGCACCAAGTCATCGCAGGTCACGGTATCGATCGCAGACTGTTGGTCTGCTGGGCAATTCAGATCACAGCGTCCCAGCAAGGTTGATGCATGTGTGCTTTCCCTTAACTAAGTTGTGGCTATGCGCTTTTCTTGGCGTCTTACTTACCCGTAGTGGCCCCCAAATACTGCAGATAGATGAATCCTCCAAATCTTGGGCATATTTTTTTGGACTATATATACGTTCTGCATTGCTGCATAAGCTTTGCAGGTGAAATATAGGGATCGCTAGCCAGCTGCATATCATACAAACTTGCAGTTGCCGAGGTAAGCACTCTAATCGTTTTCTCATGTGACAACCAGCAACCAGCAGCAGGGGTTAACCAGTGCGTACCAGTCCCGATGCAGGTCACTGCACATGTGTGTCTCTGGATCTATACACTTGGTTGTAGTGGAAGAGTTAAACGGAACGTAGACAGAGGCCCAGAGGCTGTCAAACTCAAATAGATGAACCATCTAGCCTCCGACCATGATGAACGAGGCTTGGGCACCGGTGCCACAGGCGCCAAGCGCCCAAGTACCCAACAGATGTCCGGATCGAGGATACATTCCCTGTCATCATGGAAGTGGACGATGGACAATTGCCCGTTGGATGATTTTTGAATGAAACAGGTGGTCTTTCCACTTCCATGATTCTTTCAGGGAGTGACACCATTCCCAGAAGGAGCTTTGACCACGGCTCGATTGCACCACATCGACCGGTTTCCAGGCGGCCGTGCTTGGCTGCGAGGGCTCTTGGCGGTGCCCTGGTCGAAGCTGGGTACGACCAGGTCACTTGTTAGTGTTAGAGTACATGAATGGTACAGAACCATCATTTTGTTCCGGTGTTTTGCGTGACAGGCGCGAGAATTCTGTGACAAAGTCTATCTTTTTGTCAGTGTCTTTTCGATTCCATGATCTAGTGGTACCTCATCTCCAATGAATGAGACCCTAAGACGACATGGTGAACTTGTTTTGGGTCCGGTCGAGAGTGGTCGAAGCACATGTGGCAAAAGCAGGGTGGGGCGAATTCCCAGCATTTGAATGCCAGAAACACCTTGAGGAAGGCGAGATTTGCTTGCAAATTCCAGGTTTTCTTAGTGATCCACGGACTCTCGTGCACAGGATGTTTCTTTGATCCTGGTCTTTGCTGCAGTGCTCCGTGGCAGCCATTGGACCCGCTGTTTCACCGGGACTTGGGGCGCCGGCGCCGGACCGTTCGCCCCGTCATTCCGAGTCGTCCCGGCTACTTGTTTGCGAATTCGGGTGGGTGCTAGATCACTTCATGCATGTTTGTGAAACTATAGAAAAGTAGCGTCCTGGTTCCTAGTAAGTAGTAAGAATGCTCCCGATGCCCTTACTCCTAGTAGCGTCCTTGTTCCTAGTTATATATATATATAACATTATAAATTACATATATCTGGCCGTTTTCTTCAACGAGCAAACGAGCAACCCAATGTCCTAATAAAAGAAAGTAAATGGTGCTGTTGGAATGTTTGTAAGCCAATCTGTTGGAATGTTTGTAAGCCCCTCTGTACGACATATACATATACAAGTAGCCAGTTTCTAGGCCCTCCTGCATTTTTGCGAATAGGAGTTGCTACAAGAATCTGGTCTATTTTGCCGCCCCCACGCACTCTATGCTGCCCATCCATTCTGCGCTTCTCCGCAGCTATATTGTTTGGATGTCTCATAGTTGATACACCCAGCAAACAGCCTAGAAACAAGAGAACTCATGGGGAGGACCAGCAAAGACAAATCCCTGTGATGTCGGGATTCGCATCACATCCATCCTTCCCGCCGCCTTCGGGCGAAATTCAGTACATCGATTCAAATAGCAAACATTGTTACCAGTAGTAAGGCCCTTGTTACTAGAAGCGATGCACTTGTTACTAATTGCTTTTTTGACCCAATCGAGTTCCACTTCGACCCGAAGCGGAACGTGTGATTTCTCCGTGTCCTCCGGTCCAAAACCGGTCGCCGAAAGGACGTCGGACGCCTTCGGTCGTTTCGTCGTTGTCGCTGAGACCTCTTTTGTACCAAGGTTCTTGGTGCCGAGTAGCGGCTACCATGTGGGCTGGGACCCGCTCTTCAATCACGGCTTAGCGCCCTTATTGGCCCTCTATTTTTATGGCTCGGCAGCGGACGAGGGCGCAGGACACATGATTGTCTTCTTAGTTTTTGGGGCAGGTTCAGAGGCCAAGTGGCGAAGAGGGAGGGTTTTTGCAAAGCCCTTCGTTCCCTTGGGGCCTTGATTGGTAGATTTGGCAAATGACGATGGATCACAATATATATTTATATATATATATATATTATATATATGTGTTTTTTTCAACTCGCTCTTCTTCCACCTTCGATCAAATTGGTTTCGCAAACTCCCTATGGCCGGCATGGCCCTACCACCTTCGCACCAGAAAACACCAACCCCGTCGATTGGACCGAAATGCACACCCGAACTGTGGAACTTGTAAAGATGTCCAATACCCTAGCTCATGCAGGCCCAAAAGGCGAGGCGAGATCGGGGCGGAGGGTTCAATAACCCACTCGTGCATGGTAGCGCGGCGGGGCACGGCATTGTCTAAAGGTAAGGCTGCCGTGTCCAACAGGATCCACTTAGAAGGGCCGCAGGTGGTGAGTTGGAGCATTGCTTCAGTTCTTGTGGGTCTTGCAGTTGTGACCCATTTTGTCGGTGTTGATCAGTTGATCAGGGCAGTGTTGGACATTGGCTTGTGCATTGTGGGCTTGTTGGAACAGCATTGGTTGTTGAGCTTGTACATTGGTTGTCGCTTGGTTGAGCACTTCCTCGGTCGATTGCTTGGGAGACTGGGCGTTGGGTTGTTCTTTTTGTTGCTGTTGACTCCGACATGGCCCAACAACAAGATGCAGCTGGAATGAATGTCCAACAATTGATGCAAGCAATTCAGTCGTTGCAGCAGGGACAAACTCGATTGCAAGAACAGTTGCAGAGGAGTTTGACAGAGAGCCAACAGATGAGGGATGCCAACGTTGTGCTTACTCAGAGGCTTCAACAGGCGGAGACAGAGGTTCGACAGGTCGCTGCTGTGAATGAGGCCTTGAGGCAAGAGAGGGCCGAGAGCATGGAGGTCTTGAAGTTGATCCCCAAAGCCCTCGAATCGATCGGGGGACACAGAGATAGAAAGAACTTGTTTGATAGCAAAGGCTTGGGAAAGCCGCAGACGCCGGGCGATGAGCAAGCAGAGCTTCGTTTCAGGCTGTGGAGTATCAAACTTGAAGATTATGTAGCAGGAGTTTTTGGGGAAAAGTTCAGGGAAGCTATGCAGTGGGCTTCAGAATCAGAGGTAGAGGTAAGCAGTGCATTGTTGGCCAATACCTACGGTGAGCATGCAGATCCAAATGATGTCATTGAAGACATTGATGACATGAACACGAAGTTGTACAGTGCATTGAGGTCGACAACTGAGGGGACGCCTTTTGATGTTGTTGACAACACGTCGAGCAATAGTGGGCTTGAGGCTTGGAGATTGCTGCATAGAAAATATGATCCGGCGACAGGTGGGAGGAAACGCGTGATGCTGAATGCTCTCATTACGCCGGACCGAGCAACCTATGAGACCTTGGCTGGAGCGCTGGAAAGGTGGCGGGCTTTGAGGGCCCGATACAATCGGAAGAAGGATCAGTTCGGGAAGCGTGAAGAACTTCCTGAGAGTTTAGCAATGAATGCCTTGGAGAAGCTTGTTCCGAAAGATCTGGAGCAACATTTACAGTTGAACTACACTCGCTTCAAGACATACGACCAGATGGAGGAGGAAGTTCGTGTGTTTGTGGAAGCGAAGACTGGTGCCAAGATGACCATCAGCAACAATTTCAGTCAATCGTCGAGCGAAGCAGTTCCTATGGATGTTGGAGCATTGATTGATGCCGTGAGGGGCATCAAGGACATCGGGGCTCTGATTAAGAGTTCCAAGGGTAACAAAGGCAAGGCTGGTGGGAAGGGCGCTGGAGATGGGAAGCGGGCTTGCTACTTGTGTGGCAAAACCAACCATCTGGCAAAAGATTGTTGGAGCAAGTCCTCAAAAGGAAAGGGCAAAGGAAAGGACAGTTCGTTCAAGGGCAAAGGCAAGACTTCATCCTCGAGGAGTTCATCACAGGCCTCACGTTTCCAAGGTCGGTGCAACAACTGTGGCAAAGAGGGCCACAAGGCCAAAGATTGTTGGAGCAAGGGAAGTGGAAAAGGCAAAGATGCAAAAGGGAACTCTCGAGGTGTGAACGCCTTGAATCAGGAGCCGGAGAAGGAAGCAGAAGCTGGTGGCCTAGATTTGTGTCACTTGAGTTCGGACTTGTGTGATGGTTGGCTTCGCTTGAACTATGATACAGGAGCAGCAATTACAGCATTGCCCAAAGTTTACAAGTCGGAGAGCGTGGACTCGGGTCAGAGTGACCGGCCTTTCAAGACCGCATCGGGGGAAGGTTGGATGATTTGGGCAAAGCCACTATCACAGGTGTTGATGAGAGTGGTCACAAAAGAAGAGTCACTGGGCATGTCACTGATGTCCATAAAGTGTTGTTGAGTGCGAGTTCTGTTCACAAGAAGGGCTTTGACACGTGGCTTGGCTCTGGCGGTGGCAGATTGATTGATCACTCAAGTCGGTTGTACAAAGAGTTGTGCAAAACCTACAGTCGGTTCGGTGGTGTTGGTGAGATCCCCTTGTATGAGGAGCGTGGCGTGTACAACTTGTATTTGCGAGTCGGTGAGAGCGGCTCGCAGTCGAAGGTTGAGTCAGACAGTCGTTCACTTGGCTCAGTTGAGAAGCCAAAGAAGAAAGTGTCATGGGCGGACTTGCAAGAGGAGGAGGTAACGGAGCTCCAAGAACCTGCATTAGCTCCGTTGGAGGAAGGTGAGTTGGTGGCTGTCGAGGAGCCAGTTGAGGCTCGTAGGGCCATTCCGGCCTTTGATCCAGGACAGCCTACCCAGAAAGACATTGATGAGCATGAAGCAAGTGGTCACGCGGTTTACAGGGCTTGGTGCCCGCAGTGCATTGAAGGTTGGGGATTGGGACAACGCCACATGAGGCAAGACCATGAGGAAGAGACAGTTTCAGTAGTCAGCCATGATTTCTTTTACATGTCCCCGGAGGAGGATGACAATAGACCGTTTCTTGCAATGATCGACAGGAAGACCAAGATGGTGTTTGCAACAGCTCTTGACAACAAGAAGGCACGGAATGAGGCTAGCTTGCAACAGATGAGGAAATTTTATGAGTTGTTGGGATACAAGAAGTTCATCTCAAAGAGTGATGGTGAGCCAGCAATGCGTGCGTTGAAGCGTGAAGCAGCTGCAGGTTGTGGGGATATCACAATCATCCCCCAAGAGTCTCCTCCAGGAGATCACAAGGCAAATGGTGAAGTTGAGAGTTGCATCAATGATTTGAAGCGTCGCATGCGGGCCAACAAGAGTGGCCTTGAGAAGCGTTTAGGTCAGAGCCTCCCAGAAGACCATGTGGTTTGGTCTTGGTTGCCCCGGTATTGCAGTGATATGATCAACAGATACAAGGTTGGTACAGATGGTCAAACCCCGGAAGGTCGGACGGGGAAACAGTGGAAGAAGCCAGTTCCTTTGTTTGGTGAACGCATCATGTACAAAGCGGCTGGATCAGTGCAAGTTGATGCAGCTGAAGACCAGGAGCGTGTGTCGCCAAGGAGTACAGCGAAGGCCAAACCAGTCAAGCGTGCCTTCATTGAGAAGTTCGGAGCTACTCCTGGTTGTGACGGCTGCTACAGTGTCAAGAAGGGCAAGATGATTCAGCAGATACAGCACAGTGCTGAGTGTCGTGCCAGAATTTACAAAAGAATTCAGGAAGAGCAAGATGAAAAACAGATTGCAGAAGACAAAAGGGCCAGAATTGACGAGCCATCCAGTCCTTCGAAACGAAAGGCTGAGGTGGATGTCGAAGTGCTTGAAGGACAGAGTTCATCATCGGCCTCGAGGCCCTCGAGGCCTCCTGCTGCCTTGACCAGGCCGGATTCCCCAAAGAGGCCGGCAGAAGTTGACATTGAGACATTAGTTGAGCAGACCATGGCAGAAGAAGCAACCACATTGCCTACAGAGACACCCACAGATGCAGTCGCTAGTTTTGATTTGAATAGTTTGGAATTTGACATTGACCATAGCTACAAAGCAGTGCAGAAACGAATTTTGGAAGAAATGATTGAACAACAGTTTGTGAAAGAAGGGGTTGATTACAATTTTTCGGAAGTGCAAAAGATCGCAACATTGTCAGCATCAATTTGTTCAGTTGATGTGATGGAGATTTTTTCTCCCAGTCGGTTCACTTCACTTGCAGCTTGCTACGGTTTGCAAAGAGGGGTGGCAGTTGATTTGAATGAGATGAAACCAGATGGGAGTGACATGTGGGATCTTGATCGGAAGCGTGACAGGCTCGAGTTGGAGGCCATCATTGAGAACGAAGAACCTTGGTTGGTGACAGGCAGTCCTCCTTGTGGGCCATTTTCATCGCTTCGCAATTTGTCAGACTACAAAAGGGATCCTACAGTTGTAGCTAGTAGCAGAAGAGATTCGCGTTGGAAAAGAAAGAGTGAAGACATCAGTCCAAATGTACAAGAAGCAGTATGACGCTGGTCGGTATTTCCTTCATGAACACCCTGAGCTTTCAAAAGCTTGGGACATGCCAGAAGTGAAAGAGTTGGAAAACCTGCCAGGGGTTTATAGAGTTCGCTCGACAATGTGTTGTTGGAAAATGGTTTTGAAAGGTCGTGAACAAAAGGATACGTGCGAAAGCCTACAGTTTGGCTTACAAATTCAAAGAAGCTTGCTGAAGTTTTGAATCAAATTTGTGGGGAGACCACTCCGTGTTTACATAGGCATGTGAGGCCCATTGGAGGTGTTGCTAAACAGGCACAGGTCTACCCAGATCGACTTGTGCGTGCAGTGTTGCAAGGACTACGTGAACAGTTGTTGTCGGACAGGTCATTGTCTTCTTTTGAGTCGTTGCATGCGGGTCCATCGCCGCATGAAGAGCTTTGGAATGAAGAGGAGTTTGCTCAGCAGGAAGAGTTCATTGATGCAGCTGCTGGTGTTCTCCTTGATCCGCAGATGGTGCAGAAGGCTCGAGCAGAGGAGCTGAAATGGGTCAAGGACGAGAAGATTTATGATCGCGTTCCCTTGTCGCAATGCTTGGCAGTGACAGGACGTGAGCCAATTTCAACAAAATGGGTTGACATCAACAAGGGCGATGACCAGAGGCCCTTGTATCGTTCAAGGTGGGTGGCAAGAGAGGTTAAGAAGAAGAAGGCACCTGGTGAACAGCTTTCGGAAGTTGAGTTGTTTGCAGCCACTCCGCCAGTTGAAATTTTTTATTTGATTTGTTCAATGCTGATGACACAGCACAAAGGTCGTGCAAGAGATCTGAGACTTGGTTCTTGGGATGTGAGTCGGGCGCATTTCATGGGAACAGTTGAGCGTGATTTGTTCATTAGTTTGCCGCCTGAAGATTTGCATCAAGACACAGATACAGAACCAATGTGTGGCAAGTTGAATCGAAGCATGTATGGCACCCAAGATGCTTCACGGATCTTTCAGAAAGATTGGAATCAAGTGTTGGGGAATCATGATTTTGAGATTGGAAAGCTATGTCCAGCTACATTCAAACACAAGACACGAAACATGTGGGGCATGGTGCACGGTGATGATTTTTTAGTTCTTGCCAATGATGTTGATTTACAATTCATGGACAGTGTGTTGCGTTCAAAGTACAAGGTTCGTTGGGAAGCAACATTAGGGTTGAACACAACAGATGACAAGCAGATGTTTTTCTTGAATCGGTTGGTGCAGCTGACGAAAAGAGAGAACGGTGAGTTTCAGTTAGACGTCGAGGCAGATGCCAGGCACTCTGAGTTGATTGTGAAGCAGCTCAACCTACATGGATCGAAGGGATCTGATGTCCCGGAAGTGAAAGTCAATGAGGTTGACTTTGAGCATCTGAAGAAACAGTCATTGAATGCTGAGGACACAAAGTTGTTTAGGTCGTTGACCATGAGAACGGCCTATCTCTCGCAGGACAGGCCAGACTTGGCCAATACAGCAAAGAATTTGGCCCGTGGGATGTCGCAACCAAAGGTGTTTCATTTTGAGAAATTGAAGAAGCTTGGAAGATATCTGGTGAAACATCCCTACGGGAAACGAATTTTCAGAATGCAATACATGAAACAATACCAGTTGATTGGATTCACAGACAGTGATTGGGCGTGTGATTTGGAAACAAGACGTTCTACCACAGGTGTTGCAGTGATGGCAGGGCAACATCTTTTGTTGACCAAGAGCAATTTGCAGAGCGTTGTTTCCTTGAGTTCGGCAGAGGCTGAATATTATGGGATTTGCAAAGGTGCGATTTCCTGTTTGTTTTTGAAACACTTGTTGGAGGAATGGAGCATTCCATGTGGATTGACAATGAAGTGCGATTCAACGGCAGCTCGTGCGATAGCATGCCGTGTGGGTGTTGGCAAAACAAAGCATGTGCAGGCAAGATTTTTGTGGTTGCAGCAGCATACAAGAGATGGGGTGCTGACCATAGAGAAAGTGGACGGAACGAAGAACAATGCAGATTTGATGACAAAGATTTTGAGTCGGCAGATGATTGACAAGCATTTGGAACGAATGAATTTTGTGAGATTTGAATGTCGAAATGCAAAGCAGAAAGCGTTGTTGGTTACAGGTTGAGAGAATTCCCTGGCCAGACTCCGCTACTGCTCTTCACGTCCCTGACGTTCAGAGTCGGGGGATGTGGAACTTGTAAAGATGTCCAATACCCTAGCTCATGCAGGCCCAAAAGGCGAGGCGAGATCGGGGCGGAGGGTTCAATAACCCACTCGTGCACGAACGGCCCAGGGCCGGGTAGTCCTACCGGGTTCGTATGTATCCCAAAATAACTAAGGCACAAACACACACACACATTCTTGGTTGGGGGTGGATGTTTGGATTTGGTTGGATTCTGGGCATGCGCATGGCCGAATTTGAGGTCTGGATTCGTGTTTGGATTGGAACTAGACTTTCCTCTAGATCAGCACCTCTCAAGTCTTCCACCCAGTCCTGTAGACCCTCCCAGCTACCAGGACTCTTCGCTTGCTTGCTGTCTTTACCTCCATTAGCTCAGATTGGGCGCTACAGTTTCGAGGCCGGGGAAGTCTTGTGACTCTTGACAGACAGTGGGGGAGGCTGAACCACGGCTGACAGGTTTGGGAGCCTAAAGCCGGTCCACCTACCCCCAGATGAGCCCTTCGTGGTCGGTGCGTCCCTTGGACGATCTCTCAGGTCTTCCTCTTCCAACAGCCTTTATTCTCAGCCTTCGAGCTGCTTGGACCTACTTGGAGAGGAGAGGATGGCACTGATGGCACCGTTTTCTTTTGGATGAATGTTCACATCAGATCAAATCTGAAAGTGCAAATCAGAAGGATGAACTTTATTGTTTTCTATGGTCACTTCAATCGATGAAGCTTGGCACCTGGCACATTTGTCATTCTGGGCTTGAAATCGGAGAGTTTAACAATGTGAACACGGCGTAGATGGTCAAGCTGTAGCAGGCCAAAGCCACTAAGTGACCTCTATTACCATTCCCATATTCCCAGACCTTCATGTCAATGATAACGTATGCCTACATTGGCCCCTGAAACCACCCCAACGCATGCAAATGTGCCAGTCCCGTGGAGTGTTTGGCCTTTTTCATCAGCCGATTGGTCAGACCTCAGGTGATGAGGTGTACAGCATCGGACGCGGGTGGTGAACTCCAGAGTTTCTCTCTCCCACCCTGTGAAAAGTGGAACCCTGCAGTCGTTCCACACGAAACCTGAGGATGCGTGCTGCAGAGTCGTAGTTGCAGGGCATAGATACCATTGGATTTTCCATTGGATACCTGGCTTCGCATGTCCGAGGTTCCTCTGGATCGGTGGCTTGAACGAGGCGGAGAACCCCGGTTCCGCGCGCTGTTTCGAGCGAACGGTCGGAAGTGACTGGTTTTCACCACCCACACCGCCACCCGTTGGATGGTCCGGTGCGAAAAGACACATCCGGACACCATTTCTTCAGGAGTCCCGCATTCCGCACGCGGATGCCGGATGTGGTGTTGGGACGTGGTGTTTCTGGCGCCTTTTTGGTGCCAGGTGATGTGGTGTTGGGACGTGTTGGGATGATTTGTTGAGACATTTGGAAGGCGGATTGGCCTCTGTTCACAGAACCCGCTCTGATGGCTTCTTTGATTCTCGGGCCTGTTGATCTCCGAGAGTGGGTGGCTGGGTGTAACTTTTTGGGGGTACGTATATCGGAGATCGATCCATATCAATCGCATCGCCCAGCTTGGTCGAGGTCATGCCGAAGTGGTGCCTGGCGGCCGTCTTCATGGCGACGAGACCTGGAGACGGGAGACCGGTACGTTCCGACGAATCCGGTGGAAGACGGTACCGCCGCAGTCGCCAATTTGGGGGATTTGGGGACGACCGCCCATTGTTGCTCATATTTTGGGGGATTTGGGTCCCAGCAACTGAGCCAAAGTCCGGCTGACTCGACTGGTGCGGATGGGAGCGCAGCGGGCTGGCTGGCCGCTGATGAGGTTCATCGGTTCCAAGTGCGGTTCAGAGCGCTGCGAGCGCCAAATGTCTCTGCCACGGAAAGACTTGACGGTGACTTTGGAATACGAAGGATGACCTTGGTGTTAATTAGTTTCCAACTTGAATCAGAACATGAAGGATCAGGGACAATCCTGCCGAACATAGACATGTATATAGATACCTTACATGTGGGGACAATCCCAAGAGCCGACAGGAAGTTTTCGTTGATTTCAGGTTCACAGATACTACCATCATATGATCTTCGCGGTGGTAGGTAACTAGATAGCTAGTAGGTACAACCGGGAACCGAAATCACATCAGCTTTTTCTGGATCATGTCATTTCCCTTGCGGATAGATCGATGTGAGGGGTTCACATCATGGTCACATCAACCAGCCATTCACTATTATGGGAGAGGCACATTTCCAATATCAATATATCATCTGACCTTTGCTCAGAGGCCATGGATACGACTGGTTACTGCCGAGCAGTGGGGGTCAGACTTTTTCCCACCCCGCCACGTCCACCGCCTTTTACTGTCCATGTGGCGGTCCCTCTGAAACCGAACAACTCCTGTTCCGATGGTGGCCGACCAACGAGGTCACCTTGTACCTGGTCTCGGGACTCTATGCGGAGTTCGTGGAGGTGCCACGCGTGGAACGCTTCCAGCGAGCTGAGGTCTGGCTGAGGTGTTTCTCGATGCCAACAACTGGGCAACCACTGGGGCGAGGTCATCAGATAACTCCACAGCAATTTTGTAGATTCCCTTATCCTTCCATTCCTTACATGTTCGGTTCAAGTGTACACAATACTGCAATGACCTGCCATGTGCGTTTTAGATCCTTTCCATCCTTTTCATCCTGTCATTTTCCTTTCAACTCCTTTCCCGACATTGGGGCGACTTCATGGAGTGGAGTCCTTCAATATAGGGCCCCAGGGCCCGAGACGAACTTCACTGGACTGCCTCGCACGGACCGCTGACGACCGCCTCCGAATCACGGACCGTCCGGAGAAAGAACGACGTGAAGAGACGAACACGACCATCGGCACGACACCAACGACTGGTACCTACCTTTTTGGTAGGAAAAGGCCATAGGATAGGATAGGATCATAAATGGAGGTCGCTCAGGTTCTAGGTTCCGAGTTTCTTTGAGTCTTTTTTGAAAGCAACTCTTCACCATGTCGACTCCACGGCTGCATGTCCAACCGCCACGGATTCTCAATGACCCGAGACCGGACCCAAACACGGTGTGGTGAGGATTTCTGAAGGCCCCAAACCAAGGCATACCAAAGCCATCTTTGGTCAATGTTCAACCGGATGCGTTCCGGGAGAGAGAGGTGTTCGACTTTCGACCAGTCACTGCCGGGTGTACACTCGACTCTGCTCCGAGGATTTGTAACGATTTGTAGTTGACATGGCAATCCCCAGACACGACTAATGGGACTGGCATATTGGCCTACATTGGGGTGGTTTGGGGGGTCAATGTAGGCACGTCTTCCATAGTTGGGAGTGTCTGGCCATATTCCTTTCAGGGTTTCTGATGTTTGGGAATATGGGTGATGTCTTTGAGCGGACCGGGCCATTCCACACTACGCCGCCGCGCACCAACCGCGCGCTGACCAGTCGACGACCAGGCTCCTTTCGCGCGGTGGCTGAGGGAACGAACCTCCAGCTGGAGATAACAAAGGGAGCCGGCGGTCAACGAGGGATCGACACGACTGCAATCGCTTCTGGTTAGGACCTATCGGTCCGAAGGCCCAAGCCAGTTCAGAGTTTCAAGGCTTTCTCACAAGACTTAGGGAAATCATGGGAAATCTCTGAAAGGGCGCTGGAAGCAGGAGATGCTTCCCGGATTGGCGTGGTGACTTTTTGTCAGGCCTCGAGACACGCGAACTCTTACTGTACTCATTGTCAGTTAGTATATATAGGCATAGGGAAGGAACTCCCACAAATAGATACAAATAGTCTGTATATCACAGTGTATACAGTGCACCGTTATCAACAGCGTTCACTGGTGCATGGTTTTTCTCCAGAGAGAGAGAGAGAGAGATTCTAGGAAGGGTTTTGTGTGTCTTTTTGCAAGAGGTTTGCCTCGAGTCGAAGAAGGCACTTCTTGAACAAAAGATCCTGTTCCCAAGCCCTGTCCTGTTCCTATGTTGGACATGTGTGAGCAGTAAGGCTGACGTGGTTGCTCGTGTCGATGTTTTGAAAGAGTGGAGGGTGAAATTAGTCAGTTGAGTCAGTTGAGTCGGATGCGGCCGTCCATCCCTGAGACTCCACATGTGGAGTGGGCAAAATGTTACAATGTGTTATTGAACAAAACACTTACTGTACGCCCTGGTTTAGGACCGTCAATATTGAGGACAGCATCAAGCAGGGAGGCTCACCCAATAACCCTTACTCTGATTGGACCATTCTTTTGGACCTGCTCTGAGGGGAATGCACCAAACAAAACCAGTGAAACATAATCACCCCTGCAAACAGTGTTGCCCTCGAGGTCTAGAGGTCTAGAGGCGTAGATGCATAAGGTCTAGAGATCAAGATGTTTGTAGAAATGATATAGGCCTAAAATGGCCTAAATGTCTTGAGATCCAGAGAGATCTAGAGGCCTTGAGATCCAGACAGATCAAGACATGTGGAGATCTAGAGGCCTAGAGCTCTTGAGATGCAGAGAGGCCTAGAACTCTTGAGATCGAGAGGGGGCCTGAGATCCAGAGATATCAAGTGCTCTAGGTCTAGAGGCCCTAGAAACCTAGACGTCACAAAGATCCAGAGAGATCTGGAGGTCTAGAGATTTGGAGCTTGAGAGCTCTGGAGATCTAGAGTTCTAGAGGTCTTGAGATCCAGAGAGACCTAGAGGGAAAGGGCTGCAAAATCTCGAGAGATCTAGAGGTCCACACATAGTCACATAGGTGTAGAGATGCCGAGGAGGTTCTGATGTTGAGATTGAGAGATGTAGAGGTGCAGAAGTCTAGAGTTCACGAAAGATCTAAATGTCCCAGAGATCCAGAGAGATCTAGAGGTCTAGAGATCTAGAGGTCGGAGGTGTGCGCTGAGAAAGAGGTCTTGAGATCCAGAGTACTGAAGATCTGCTAGAAAACTGGAGGTCTCTAGGTCGGCCCTGAGGTCCAGGCATATCAAGAGCTCTAGGTCTAGAGGCCTAGAAACCAGAGATCTGGAGTTTGAGACCTCCGGAGATGTAGAGGTATGGAGTCCAAGGGAACTACGAGTGTATATAGAAAGATTTCGAGGTCTTTTAGATCTGGAGAGATCTAGAGGTCCAGGGGCCTAGAGATCTAGAGGTCTGGGAGCACACACAAAAGAGGACACCCATTTGCTGCGCCTGCCACGAAATGCACTTCGTTTTCACAAAGCTCCGCGGTTTCTGCGAGCCTGCGTAGTCGAAATGCACTTCGAAGATGTCGAGAGGCATGAATGTAGGGTAAATAACAGCGAATTAGCCGGACACGGATGCGAGCACCACCGATTGAACACACGGCCTTAACAATTAGCCCCTAGTGTGACCACACTGTTTGGGGAATTAACGCACGGTGGTATCATGTGTTTTTGCCTGGGGCGATAGTGGAAGTCTCAAACGGGTTCCAATGGCGTTTCTCGTGCTTGCTGAAGCTTTCACCGGATGTGACGATCGATGGCTCCGGTGGACGCACATCGACGGCTCAAACAGTTTAGTCTTGCGACAACGCCCCCCCAGTTGCCCTCGCAAGCTCAGGAGACTGAAAAGGGGGACATGGGTCGTTTCCTCCGACTTGTTGTTTGGAACTGCAACGAAGCGGACAGGACACATTTTTGGCCCTTGAGTTTTGGACGACGAGTTTCCGGTATATACACTCTAAGCAAGTTGGTGTGTGTTTTCATGTGTTTTACATGACTGTCAGCTTTTCGGCAGGACCAACTCATGGCTCGCCTTCTGCTTCTTCTGGCAGCGGCCACGGCTGCCACGGTGCCGTGACGAGAGCCAAGACGACCCCGAAACGGCCATGCCGAAAACGGTGCATGACCGCATGTCCTGGAAGAATCTAATGAGATACTGGGTGGTAGAAACTGTAGCTATGTTATATGTTATAATGTTAAAAGGGGAACCCCGCCAGAGTCTTTAAGAAGGACTCTGGGCACCTGAGAGTCTTTGTCCTTGCGGGGAACAAATGTGTGTCGGTGTTTCCGTTTTGTTTAGGTTGCCCTGGAAAATCCCAGAACCATCCAAAACCACAATCCAACCCACCTGCCAAGTATCACGACATGTCACTGGGCTGCCGCTGCCGCTGCCGAGGTGCTGCTACAGACGAGCAAGGCCAGCGGGCCCGAAGTCCACGGTGGCAGTTCCGTCGGCATGGGAGAGTCAGATGGTTGATGTTGCAAGATCTAAGCTCAAAGTATTGCCTGATTTGTATGTTAATTTATACACATCACATATTTTGTGCTTTGTCAAGACTGGACTTGTGGCATCGAAGGATCTCCAAACACATGATCTGGTGCAGTCGGCACCAAATCCGGGGCTTTCATGCTCCGGTCCATGTGCTTCGAGTGAAGCACGGATAAGCGCGCCCGAAAGAAAGATCTGCGCAGCTCCAGGGTAACAAGTGACAAGAGCCTACAAGAGCCTTCAGGTGGATCAGATCGCCTAATTATTCAGAAGATTTTTCAGAAGTACATCGTACACTGCCTGAAGTCCTTCAACCTTCCAATGGTTTTTGTGGCCTCCAAGTCTTCTGGAGACCAATTCCGTGTCTCGTGAGGCCTTTGTTGGCGTGAGCACTCGGTCGTCCACAGCGCCCAAGGCGGGGCGACACGGAAAGAGGGACCGCCCCGCATGTGGGTGTGTATTGAGTATTGAAGTAGAGATACCCCCAACCAAGTTGTTTTTTTTGGAAACTGTTTTTGTCTATTTCCATTCTTCCAGGGGATCGTTGCCTGGGAGGTCTCCCTATTTTCACACACATCCATGTTCCCACCGGCGACAAGTGGTTGGCTTAGCCACTCATGATGTTGAGCCATAGTAAACCGCAGTCAGAAGCTGATCTAATCTCACATCCAAGTCATCCATGTATCACTCCATCACGATACATCCTTTTCAGAACTGGGAGTTCCAAGTCTGTTTAAATATGTTTTTGATACCAGCTGGCTATGACATTCAGAAGACTCCTCGTGTTGGCTTGGCCCAAAGGCTCGACGGACACCCACATGGACTAGGGGAATCACCCCACAGCCGCACCATACTCCAACCCCACTCCACGAGGAATCCCACCGACCGACTCCCCCCAAAACTGTAGGTTGACATGGTCCAGTCCTTTAAATTTCTTTGGACCAGGTAATGTTCTATCTTGAGTCTCGATTCGTGCCTCCCTTTGTGGAGATGTTTGAACATCCTGCCAGCCACCTTGCATTGCTTTGCTTCCAACCTAATAGCAATGGTCTCCGACCTAGCAGCGATGGCCTCCAACCTAGTAGCAATGGCCTCCACCCTAGTAGCAATGGCCTCCAACCTAGTAGCGATGGGGGGGGCAGGTGGGGTCTCATACCTCACGCGACGATGACGCGGGGAGTTTTGGTCCGGTGTCCCGACCTTTTGGGAGGATACTTTGGACTCACATGGAAGTGGAACATGGCCATTGGGAAAACGATGTTCCTCTAGAGACAGGGGTGGGGCCATGCACTTCTGTGAAGAATGTGTGAAGCATGTGTGATGGGCTGGATTCACTGTTCGCTCGGGCCCCAGAGCGAGGTGATCTTGGCCGCAGAGTTCCTTGGCTTGTTGAAGTATTGGGGGTACCTGGGGGTACCTCAACATGTACATGGCCGTCCCGACTCATGCCATTGCCGATCCAGCACATGACGTAAAGGATCTCACAAATGATCCCCTCCTCTCTAAGTCTTCGGGTTCCTTTGTTTTAGAGTGCCGAACATGTTGCGCTTGAAACAATTGCTCAAGGACTGTTCACACAAGACAATCAGCGAGGGAGACGACTTGCCGTGTTTTGTTGTATTTCCATTGTAATCTCCACATTGTTCTCGTTGAGATTCGTTCTTCTGTTTGACTCAATGCAATGTGTAGGACTAATCTTTTTCACTGTTTGGAAAAGAAAGGACCGTCGATTACACAGTGGGTGACATGTTCCTGCATCATTCATATGTGAAATTATGTGAATCATGTGAGGATGGTTAGATGAGGTCCTGAATCCCCGGACCCGGCTCTGCGCGCTTCACCGATATTTTTTCGGTCTCTGACTCTGACGCTCTCTTGGCGAATACGGCGCTTGCCAGATACCTGTCGTCCGGTGCCTCCCGTGTGGTTCGTGCCGGTCGGAGAGGGGGTCCACCAATCGGCCGGGAGACGTACCAGATCAGTTTGGGGTGAGACTTCATCACCCGATTTGGACCTCCAGCTCGGCCCCTTTGGATCCAACCTCCCTCCGTAACGGAGCGCCGTGATCCCTGCATGTCCGAGGCCCGCCAAGAGCTCCTCCTCTTTCTCCTTGTCAGAGTTCGCGGAGAGCCGTCGGGGGGGAGCCGAGGAAAAAGAACACAGTCTCCACTGCAGGTCTGAGAAACACAAAAAAGGTGTCGTGCCACGAAGATCGAAGACAGGGACTACTGGTGATATTCTGTACTACGCCGTACTTATCCGTACTTGATGTTTGTCGATGTTTATCAAGTTTTCATTTTAGCAACCACCTTATCTGCTTGCTTGTGTAGCATGTCTTCCGAGCAACTGTTTTTGGGTGTTTCTGATGTAGGCCATACTGTGGATGCACTGACAAGCCAAGCTCTCCTGCACCAGTGTACTGTGATAAGGCTGCCATCACCTGCCGCTCCAACTTCTCCATCACCCCCTCAAACCGGCCGCCCAAAGACTCGCGACCAGTCAGGAGACCGATGACAACAAGGGCAGCGCTTCCATCGCCCGAGCCCTCAGCAGTCTCACCTCTGCTGATGCGTGTTTTGCGCAGCACATCGGATCAAGCCATAAATTGAGGTTTGACACGCAAAACCACAAGCAGCTCATCTCAACTCAACCACCAAAGGCTTTTGCATCGATTCAAAGGAAGGTGACAACCACCCGCCACACTCGAAAGACTGAAGAGAGTTTTGAGGGGGTATGAGTCATGAGTGAGTCACCCGATCTCCCAGAGTGAGACCCGATCTCCTCTTCCCTTCCCTCCAACTTGGAACGTCCAGAAACTGGTCCAACTTTGAAGGAACTCTCTGTGTTTGAAGTCAGGTGTGTAGATGATGACCCATGTGGGTGTTGGCCAAACAAAAAAACACACGAGCCAGCACCGTCCAGCACCCCAAGGCGTTCTTTTTGGGGCATAGAGTGTAGATACCAGAATCCTGTAGCGCAAGGGCCCGCACGAAACCCCTAGTTGACTTTGGGCTCACAGAATCAAGCATTTTTTCACCATAAATAAAACTACCAATCCTTCCCACATCCATACTCTCGTATGGATCTACAATGTGTTTGCTTGTGAGTTTGGCTGAACTGTGTGTAACATCAAGACATCCCAGCCTCACCAAACCCATCAAAGCCGTATCCAGACTGCTCCTGCAAATTGCGCGGGTAGCTTGCGCTAGCCAGGTCTTCTGGTTTGTCCTGGGACTTCTCACGCCTTTGCTTGGCGGCTTTACCTTCGGTTTGATTCTGGCAGCAGTAGGCCGCTCCGCGAGCTCCGCTGGGCAGTTTTCGGCTTGGTCTCAGGGAATGGCCTAGCTAGCTATATATCCTGTTTGTCGCGAGGGTGTACGTGGGCCAGGGCGACAGAATTTCATTAAAAGATGGGATCATCCCATTCTTTGGGCAGACACAGTTGTGAACCCGAAGCTGTATTCTGATCAGCATTATAGTTTCATATAGTTTCAATCTAAGAATCCCTTCAACGAAACTCGTATTTCTCCTCGGCAGTAAATCATGATCAAAGACCTCTTCGCACTCCAGGCGGATCCAGGCGGATCCAGGCGGACACTCGGTTTTCATTCCAGGCTGGGGCCTCTCGACTGGTGGCATCAAGAAATTTGTGGAGAAGACGGAGCCACTGGGTCGAGCAAGGACGCTACGAACCGGGCTCCTGGCCTTACCTCTAGCAAGGATGCTACGAACGGAACAAGAATGCTACTAGTAGTAATGCCCTTGTTACTACTAGCAAGGACGCTACTAGAAGACGGAGCCACTGGGTCGAACTTGACGGAAGATCTTCCGGCCGAGATGGTGTGCTAACTTGGGGTTCCGAAATGCCAGCAATATAGCAATGCATTTGCGACTTGCACGCCAGACCAGACGACAGGTTCTCGTTGAAGACCCGGCTATGACATTCAGTCCATTGGACTTTAGGTGAAGGATCTGAAGTCCTTAAGTCACGAACTCTTAGAACACTCTATGACACTCTTGACTTCCAAGGCGACCCTCGATGTTTTTTCAGGTCCACGAAGCAGTTTGCAGAGTACGTGACCACACTGAATGACTTCGGCACGAAGGGTGGCGAATACGGCCTCAAGGTAGGTGGGCTCGCACCCGGGCGACCCCTCGGAGGGTGGGGAAGAAAGGTCCAAATTAATTCCAAGGAGACAAAGACTCCGATCTTATGAGGTGATTCGGGGATGATGGTGACATCGGAGGTGGCTCACAAGGTCTCATTTTGCTGAGCCACATATGAGCAACCGACAAAATGATTAACCGATAGGGGACGACCCAGTTTGGCATATGGCATATTGCATGAATAGATAATTTTTGCCCGCACCTCATATGATGATTATATATTCCTTGAGAAATTATTTTGACGAAGTAGAGAGCACCTGTTCAGGGCTCACAACTGGTCAGCTGCGGAAACCTGCAGGTGCACATCCACTGGGTTTGCGATGGTCTAGCTGTCTTTGTCTTGACCCTGACATGTATGGACACATCTCAATATTGTGTAATATTATATATATAATTGTATAAATATGTGTAACTGTATAATATATAATATAGTTATATATATACAGTATATGAATCATATGGTTTGGGTCGGCCACCCCCTGGTTGGTTTAGAATGGAAAGGGGAGGCTGGCTTTCTCTCACCATTTGAGCATCGCTCATCACACCCCAGCAAACGTCGTATCGGTAGCGGTGCGTCCGGAGGCTTACAACTTTGTGGCCAAGAAGAGCAAGGAGCTGACGGCGTGAGCGAGCGTTGCCGCGAGATGGCACCTGCAAACCTGACCAGTGACGAAGAGTGACAAGATGAGATATCCACGGAGATTGGAATATCTTTGTTAAAGACGAGTGACTTGCGGTTCTATGTGAAGACGGGAGTGACTTGGTTTTTGAACCATGTTTTTTTTTTGTTTTTTTTGTTTCTAATTGCGGTGATGTATCATGATTTGTCAGGACACCATGATTGCGGTTCTTTGTACCGTTGAGATCAATCTCACATTTATAGTCTATAGTCCTTGATCATGAACATTATCCTTGCATATGTATACTGTGTGATTTCAGAAGTTACGCACAATATTGTATTGTACCTCCCCAAACAAGTCTATATACCTGTTTTAAGAACCATTGTTGATTGATGTTATTTGCAGTGTGTTTCAAAGGTGTGGGTCAGTGGGTCCCTTCAATCTGGCTTGGCAACGAATATCAAGGGATGCAATATATTGTTTAAAACAATCTCTTTCATTTAAGATCACGTGTGCAGGCAATGCCAGAAGCTCAACAAAAGCACAACAAGCAAAACAGCTCCCTCAAAAGAATCGAGCATATGATGAGCATGTGCAGTGATTGTAAGCTTAAGGTGCAGAATCGTTACACATGCTCATTTTTTTCAGTTCTACTCAGTGGGTAGGCGCAGCATGGTGGCATATGTTCGAATCTCTCAAATGTCTCAAATATGAAATGTCTCATTTACAGTATGCACAAGCTGCTTTTCTCACGGCAAAGGCCCTGGTAACGGAGAGAGCCTTGGAGACGGACATAACACAAAGGCTTGAAAAGACAGTGGGACTACGTTTGTTTCCCAAAGTGATACAGTATTTATCATCCTTATGTATAGATGAAGAGCCTATGCATTGGGGCTCCTTTAGAAAAGGAGAAAATTCTGTGAAGGACTCGATCTCTAAAGAAGGACAATTGGAATCCAACATGTTCTTTTCGTTTTTGTAAGAACTCTTGAAACAAAAACACACAAAAGGTAGGTAGACCCCATTCTTTTGGTGGGGGTATCATATGTATGTATACTGTGTATCACCCACGCATCGGTCGGTCAGATCCGCGACGATGGCACAACGGACACTCTGGTCCGCATGTGCAAAGGACCCCAAACTATACAAGGCTCAAGGAGAGCCTCTAGAACTCAAGAAACGTGGTCCGCCAAGACGCGATAGAGCGTCCACAGCCGGCACAAAGTGTCTGTGCTAAGTAAAGAAGGACATGGTCTTCGACCAGTGGAATTGCGTTAGCAATGGCACTCTGCGGTAAAACTCGACCAGCTGACTTAACGTAAGTCGCCGAGAAAGATCCGGGGCACAACTGAACATCATCGAGTTTGAGCAGCAATTGAAAGGCCTGTCTAAGCCGACATGTGACATCATGTATCAACAACGTCTGGTAGTCAGCATCAAATCTTCGCCCTTGTCTGTGAAAAAGAATTGCCAACTCACAAAAGGAAAATGCCTTCTGTACATGATGCTGCCATCGGAGTTGCCTTGCAAAATCGCAGATGACGTTCCAATCATTGTGCGAATACTTCCATGAGGCAGGGACTGCCACCTTCATGGGAATTTTTGGCTTCCAAGGAAATTGTGCTTTGATTGGGCACCACTCCCACTGAGGAAACATTGCACGCGCCTCATCAATGGTGATGGAGTTTCCTGTGCACAACCCCTGGTCAGACGTGCCCAACCCGTCGCCACCAGGTTGCAGTGTATCCAGGTGTATGTGCAGACGGGTAAGCCATTCCTGATGGAGAACCGTGGCGGCTTTAACCACTTCTGCCATGTGAGGATAGATGGGCGCAATGCGCAGAGCGGTGTCCTTGGCAGCGCGATCAGCGTCTCTGTTGCGCATCACGTGCAAAACGGAGGAACCTTGAGCGGCAATGCGGATCGGGTCGAGTTGGAAGTTTGGGATGTCGTCACCCAAATGAGCTGGAATCCAAGTGACCTGTAGCGGTTGTTCATGGTCCTGCCGACGTGATGCCACAAGTTGCTGGCACGCTGTCCACCAATCCAAACACTTCCACCCCAACTTGATGTGGCCAGTACGAAGCAAGAAATTGGCATTGTTGACGACTGTTTTGTTGTCACAGAAGATGTGGACTGGAGCGGCAGATCTCGACAACGCCATCCACAAGGCCCACAACTCAGCCACGTAGCTGGATAAAAGCCAACGACGCACACGCCCAGTCGACACAATGTTGCCATCAATATCAACGACTGCATAGGCAGCGGTAGTGGTCCAAAAATTTGGCTGCCACAATACTGAGCCGTCAGTCCACAGTTGGAGAACGGGCAAGGAGGCATCAAACTGCACCGCATCACCAATGCAGGCGTCCTCAGATTGAAGGCGGAATTGCGACAAGCGAAACGGATGTTCAACTATGCCAAGTAGGGCAAAATTAGCTCCTAAGTCATGCAACACCGGCTTGGAGGTGAGTTTATGATACTCAGCACAGTCAAATACGAGGTGTGGCAAGGATTCCTTTGCTTTTCCACAAAAGCGACAGTCAGCCGAAGGGACCCAACCAGCGGCACTGAGGCGGTCCCGAGTCAAAGTGCAGCCCACAAGAGCTGATTCACAGTGATGCGTAGCCGTCGGCCATATGTATGTATACTGTGTATATATATATAATATATACATATCATTGTACATCGTACACATACCCTAGCCCTTCCAAGACCATTCAAAGAAAGGTTGACCCGGTTTTGTAGAGTAAATCCTAAATGTAAACAACACAGTTGTTTGGTAAAGGTTATTAAAACAATGGTTGTTGGAGTCCCAAGGCATACATACACAGTGTATAATTGCATGTCTTAAAATACAACGACCTGTGGATTTCCTGGTATCTATTGCATCATATGGGTCATTGTTTTTGTTGGAACAGGTCATTTTGCCAACCAGGATTGCAGGAGGCTGGCTGCTTGAATCGTCAAACATGACGGTTAGGCACCCAAAAAGGATGTGACTGAAGATCTCAAAACAGGATCGCTTAGAGAGTCACATGACGCACCCGGCACCGGCTTTTTAAGAGGAGCGTCGCTTATAGGAAGAATCATCCTCCAGGAAAATCACTGAGCTGCTGCCGCAGAGGAGGGAGACCCCAAAGACGTAGACCCTGTCAGGAAGAGCAGTAGTCAACAGAAACTCATGGGTAGGGGTCTCCTAGTATAGACTCAAGTCATTGGTGAAGGCGTCCAAAGATTTAGATCATGGAACGTTCATTTGCAATGGCAAACGCTGGGGCCATACGGCCTGCTTTTGGTCTTATCATTGGGAGGGGAGGCAGTCTTGGGCCAGGTGCAGTAGACGGTAGTTCCATTCCATTCCATGCAAGGATGTTCCAAGAAAAATGTCCGACAAAACACACAGACACACATCCGCCTAAGAAGATCCTTAACAAGAACAACGGACCAAAACGGGTCGGCCAAAACGGAGCGTCGATTGGACGCATGGGACGCCGGAGCGTCAGCCCCTGCGCGATCGAACGAGGCCCGGGGCTGGCGATGGTGGGCCTTGGGCAGTTGCTCAACACGGCCACCTTCCGCGCGATCGGCGCGAAAGGGGCGCCTCGGAGGTTTTCGGGCCAAGAACGGTCGAGGTCGGCAGCTACAGGATGTTTTGGTTCCAACTTCGACTGTTAGGGGTGAGTTTTGAGAGCTCGCACCCCGGGAATCAGCTTTTGTGGGAGTTTGAACTGACTCCAAGCTCAAGGCAAGGCCGTTCTTTGTTTTTGGCCCCAAAGAAGGTAGCTCAGCCAACGACACGACCGATGGTTTTGTAAGCAGGCAGGGCAGGGGCCCTTCGGTTGAAGTGGGCGTCTCGTCTGAGGATGCACCCAAGCAGTACCATTTTCTTTCGGAGGAGACTTGGTAGAGGCCCTGGCGTATGGAAGTATCCAATATGCTGGGGCCCCTTTATTTTTGAGAGAAACGTGCATGGGATACAATGCGCATGAGACCAACATGAGGATGCATCTCTTGCAATTTGTAGAACATGACATGTTGCTATATATATATATACACATAAGAAGAAATCCCTCAGCTAGAAACGTCCCCAAGAAGAACTGAGCTTTGAGTGAGGTTGCACACTTCATGTATAGATGACACGTCATGTATAGTTGATGTCTAGGAACACTTATCCAAGACTGGAATTGTCATGTAAAGACTTGCATCATCGGTAATCGGCTTTGCCGTTTGCACTGTGTCACTGGACGCCAACCTGATTTGGCTCAAGGACTTTGGAAAACAGACCGTGCCGCGACCGAAAGGATTCGATCGCGATTGTGTCGGCCTACTACGTATAGACCAAGGTTCTCGAACTTATCTGGTTATCAGCCGCAAGAGCTACGAGGACGTGAAGAAACGAGACCATACACAAACATCAAGACAAGCTTGTCAAGAGAAACGGTGGCATTGTGTTGAAACTTCTTTCGAACACTTGTTGCCCCGCGCTTCCGAGCGCGATCCATGCCACCTCGTGAACGTGAGCGTGAACGCTCACGTCGGAGACGGGGTCCCCGTGGAGGTGATCCGAACAGGCCAAGTCAGCAGTCGAGGAGGGAGCGTGGTCTCCCGACAGAAGACCGTGGAAGGGGCGCGGATCGAGATCAGCAGCGAGATCGCGGTGTCGAGTACAGACGAGTTGCTCGTGGGCGTGGTCGAGCTCGCGACGAAAGTCGCGACAGCAGGGACTGGCCGAGGCATCGAGAGGTCTATCGTGCCAGGTCCCCGCGTCAGCCGCGGCATCCGCCGCCCCACGTTACGGAAACGTGGGAAACCCGGCGTGCACCGCCGAGGCCACCGAGCGAGACAGAAGAGGAGAGCGAGTACGTTGAGCGTGGTCGGGACGAGAGATCGCGATCACGAGCTCGCGGAGAGTGGCGGCAGTTGTGGGTTTGGGTTCCTGAAAGCCCCGAGCCCGAGGAGGAGACGGCTGACGACGACATCCCCGAAGAGGAGGTTGAGCTTGAGGGAGAATCCGTCGATACCGTGACAGGTGAGCCAAGAGAGTGCCTTGCTGAGGCCGTTGAACCTGCTCCTGAGGGTGCGTCGGCCGTCGATTTTTCAGCGACCGAGGACTCGATCGCGAGGCAGGCAACAGAGGAGGCCACTGAGCATTCGGTGTCGGCAGAACCGGATACCCTTCGTGAACGAGCCCGTGAACTTCGCTCGAAGGCCCCCAGGCCGTCTACAAGCAAGCCTTCGCCGTCAGTGAGCGAGGAACAGTTTGAGGAGAAACCGCCAGTTGAAGAACGTGTCAAACCTCCGCCAACCGCAACATCGGCTAAGGCCAAAGTACGAAAGGAGTCGAGTGAGACTGGAGACATTGTGCGTGAGCAGTCAGCAGTTGGTGCATTGAAGCGTGCCATTGGTCGTGACACGCCTTCGCGTCATCGCGAAGGTGAAGGCTCTTCTGGATCGGGCTTGAAGCGAGCTCTTGAGGAACTTCCGGTTCCGCCTCCTGTTCCTACAAAGGAGGAAGTTGAGCAGACGGAAGCTGCCAGGAAGCGTGAGATTGAAAGCTTGCCGACTCCACCTCCGGCGCCGAGAACTCCTCCTGTGCCGTTGACTCGTGCAGCGTCGAAACCTCGTCTTACTGAAGAGGTCCGACCAGTGGTTCTCGCGCCGAGACCAAAGGAGAGACCAGCTCAGCCAGAGCAAACGGCACCTTCTCCATCGTCTCGACCTCCCGAGCCACGTGGTGCGCCGCCGAATTGGCAAGACAAACCACTCGTGCTGCTGGACTTCCACAAAACCCTCAGCTTTCCGAACAACGACCCTCCGGTGGCAGAGGCAACCGTGCAGACATTGAGGACGGTCAAGGAAAAAGGGTTCTCCATCGGCATCCTCAGTTTCGCCTCAAATAAGCCCACTCAGGAAGGCGTTGCAGCTGGTGTCGCTGAGTTTGAGCGTCGACTTGGTTGGTCTTTTGACATTTTCGCGATAACGCGAACCAAGTTTTCCACAGACACCGACCAGGGGGCATCGATTACAGGACACGTTGGAAGCAAAGCGAAGTTGGTCGCGCAGTTTGGCCCGATCGTATACGTTGACGACCAAGGGTCACTGCTGAACGACGTGCGCACCCTCCAGCAGAACGTGCCGATCGGACACAAGACCCACTGCATTCGTGCTGCATTGTATCCGAGTGAGGCCTTGGTCCCACTTGAGAGAACGCTCAGGACGTTTCCGAGGACCAGTGAGCTGCCCACCGCCAGAGAGCTGGGCAGGATCTTCGGAACCAGGTGAGACGAGAAGGAGACGACCAGTGTGCTTGTACATTGGTCGAGAGTGGGCATTGCGTCAGTGGTCGATAAACCCTTCTGCAAGAGCTACGTGTTGGGTTGAGGCTGGTGATACATTGCTGTTGAAGTTGGAGACATTGGTCAATAAACCTGTCTGCTAAGGCTACGAGTCGGGTTGAGGCCGTTGCTACAACATTGATCTTGTGTGGTCAGACATTGGTTGTGTTGAGGACGATCCATTGGTTGGTAGTTGAACATTGGTTAGTGTCAGTGGCCGAAGCTTGTGCTGCCTTCGCGTCTGATTCGCGTATCCACGCGACGGACGCGACTCGTCGACTGCGTCTCTACGCGTCCCACTGCCAAAAATCGCAGCTTTCAGCGCGTGGCAATAAACTCCGCGACAAACGTCGCGTGCCGGCAGTGAAAAGAGGAGGTGGTGCTGCTCAGTGTGTCGAGACAGTGTTGGTTGTTGGTTTTGAGCATTTGTGAACAAACGATTTGTAGTTAGTTGAGTCCTTCAACAGAGTCGGGTCGAGATTTGAGTGTGTTGAGATTGAGTTGACAGATTGAGTTGAGAGTCGTTGCATTGCACCGGATAGTCGATGTCAAAACGGTCGCTTCCTGCAACACCCTTTCGTGTCATCGGTCCTGAAGGCTCCTACGATACCTCGAGTTCATCCATTTCTCCGGAGACTGGGCTTGCGAGGATGGAGGGTGAGTTGGGAACTGGTGGAGGAACCGGGCTCCAAGTGAGCGTGCCGGCCAAGGGAAACACAAAGGTTGCAGTGAGTCGTACACGAGCTCAGAGTTCCGAACCTTCCCAACCTTCTGGGGTACAAGGTGATCCATCGACTGTTCCTGGGGTGCATGTTTATGATCAGAGAACCCTCAACCATCTACAAGTACTCAACCAGCACAACATCGATCCCGAGACACTTGAAAGAATTGTTCAGGGTTACGTTCAGTCGCAGTTGAACCATGCAGAACCGGTGATACAGCAGGAACGACAACAACATCAACTTGAGCAGCAAAATGCAGCACTACAGTTGAGCCTTGAACATCAACAGATGAACCAACACATACAACAACAGGAAGCCAGCATGGCACAACAAGCACACAGCAGAATCAACCAGATCACAACAGAGACACAAGCAGAAATACTCAAGCATCAGCAGATAGCAGAACAAGCACAACGCGAGATACAACGCGTGACAGCTGCAGCAGAAGCAAGGTGTCAAGACCTTGCACGAGAGAACGAAGCACTCCGAGCTTCGCCTGTTGCAGGCTACTTTGATGCGTGTCCGTCGGAAGCCGGAAGAGCCCCATCGGTTGCTTCAGCCTCGCCATTGAATGTTGTTTACTGCCATGTGTGTGGGAATCAAAACGTCGTTGGTCGTGGTTGGTGTTGGAACTGCAAAAGTAGTCTTGAAGAGCCCGAGAATGGTACGGACCCTTTTGAACCATCTTCTCATGAAAGGTATATGTACCCAGTGCCTACGCGACCCTCTAGTGTCGCGACCATCAGGGAGCCAGTCAACATGCAAAGGAACATTGCGTCGCATGAAGGACCATCCCATGCAGAAGTTCCTCTTCCTCGAGCCCCTGGCGGTCCGGGACCGTATGGCATGCCGTGTGGTGCATTGCATGATGGTTCACATGTTCATCATCTTGGTGTTGATCCCAGGTTGGTCTATGGAATGTCGACCCCAAAGGCTGTTTCAGAGTCAGGGAGTGCTCCTGTTCCTGGTGTAGGATTTCAACGGGCCGTTCCGGCCATGCCATCGTTCCCAAGAGCTTCAATGGGACCGGCTTACCCACCAGGGGGGTACATCGGCACTATTCCAGAAGCACCTCCAGGTGTATCATCATCAAGTCACCCTCCAAACATCTCCATTGCGACACCTCGCAAGAAGGAGTCATCGGAGTCTGGTGGAGGATCAGAGAGCTCGGATGGTTCATCCGAAGAAGGCTCAAGAATGCCGGCAGGCAACCCTCCTGAATCTTGGTTGCTTGACGGTGAAACCGAAGACAACGTGTACAAAATCAAGCATTTGAGAAACATCTCAATCACCAAGTTGCCAACAGATGCAACATCTTGTAGAGAGTGGCGTGCTGCATTGCTTGCGTCGGTGTCGCGCATTGATCTCACTGCGCGTGATGTATTGGTCAAGTATACCTCTCATTGCATGGATGCCGGACGAGGTCGGACCTTCAGAGCTACGCTCCAGAATGACCAGTCGTTCATCCCTTTCAACAAGCACATCGCCGCAGAGCTCATCAAGCAGGACGTCCTCTCCACCAACACGGATTAGGCCCATG